TTTCTGGGGCAATATATCGCACAACAAAAAGTTGTTATCGTGACAGGCCTAATCTAACAGTGTTACCTGTATCTGAAACTGAAGGTATATTCACAGACAGGACAGGTGGGATTTCTCTCTCACCCACAGAATGAACATCTTCAGAGTCTGACAGTCTCCTGATGTAAATATTAACTTTAGTATGGCTCTTACGCTGTATTTCCTCTCTGCTGGCACCCAAAGCTGCTCTGGTTGAGTTAATGAACACATCTGCTGCATCAGAACTGGATGTAGAGTTGTTTAAGTGCGTGTTATTGATCATAGACACACAACAAGAGTCCATTTCCACTTTTATATAATAAGTATTTAGACAGTCCATTAAAGAGACACCGGTTGTTTTTCAGTGATGTCAGTCTTTAAACAGTTGATAATAACAAAGTTACAGACCCAGCAGCTAGTTGTCAAAAGCTTTGATCATTTTCAGGCGTTCATAACCGTCTTACCGTAAACATGACGTAAAGATAACGATTATTGCCTTTATTTCCGGAGATATCCACAGATGACACGTCGGTCACTCTGGTGTTGTTGTCAGTATTGGTTTTAAATTTCCCGCCGCAGGTTATTTTTTAAAAGCAACAGGTTGGCTCAGCCTCTCATTTCTGTTATTACAGTAAATCCCGACTTTGTTTCGTAATATTTTAATGTTATATATTTAAATGATGTTTTATTTCAGCCGTAAATCCAGTTATTTTCACAGCTTCGGTTGTTGCTGACAACAAAACTTCACAACCGTGATCTTGGAAACAACAGCGCGATCGCTAGACAGATTTCAAAATAAAAGTCTGTCTTCCCTTTGTTTTGGTCTCGGAAGTCTTGACACTGCTGCCCCCATTTGGTCCTTATTTGATCTGGTAAACATGAGAAATAAATGTTTCTGTGTTTTTGCTTTTTTTTTTTTAGTCTTTATCCCTACATTTTTTTTTTTTTGCGCAGTAATAAATCTGAGGCATTTTAGAAGATGCATTTTTATACTGTGAGAAGTATATCAAAAACGACTGAAAATGTAAAAATGCCTGTTTTACAATATTTAATATTTAATATAAGATGCTAATATAAAGCATTTAAATAATCAAAAGAAGAGATGCTTGTCTGTGTATTATGTCTGTACATTTTCAACAAGATGTGTATTACAGACACCATTATATGTATAAAATGATATAAAAATGTAATAATATATTAAATGATATACAAATTCAAATAGCCGTTTTAAGTTCTAAGGATCTGAATTCTATTCCTTCATACACGATTTTACTTTTTATTTTATAAGGGCTCTTATTTGTTACGAAAGTGCCGAATCTGCCGATGTGAAGCAGCGGATATCTGTTCTGTTCTCACATGTCCTTCACATCCTGAGCTCTGAGGTAGTTGCTTTACTGTTTTTTTTTTTTTTAACGTGCTTTGCTTTTAGTTATATTTATTGTCTACATCTTATTTATTAAAGCATTTATTTTGGAAGGCATTTATCGCATATTTAGTGTTATAAATGTGCATGTGATATGCTAATGGCTAATGCAGCCACTCAACATCATCACACTCATTGAACTGTGAGGCCAAAAAGAACATGTTTATTAAGCAACTTCTGCACTGTCGATAAGAACAGGGAGAATTTCTGGTTCAAATGCTCGTGGTGTGAGTAATGGTATTTCATTTCATCCACAGCATCCCACTTTATTGTAACTATGGCGGCTCAGGTCAACGAATCAGACCAGATTAAACAGGTAAGAGGAACCTTAGACGTAACCGTACACATTTATTGTCTATTTTCAGTTTTGAAATCATTAAATAACTATTTAATTGCCCATCTTTGTATTTTGCAGTTCAAAGAATTCCTGGGAACCTACAATAAACTGACAGAAAACTGCTTCATGGATTGTGTTAAAGATTTCACTACAAGAGAGGTCAAACCAGAGGAGGTGTGGTGTTAAATTGTGATTACGCTTATATTTCTACAAGCTATCTTATAAGTCCTTTGAAATAAAATTTAAATTATTTAAAGGGATAGTTCACCCAAAAATGAAAATGTGATGTTTATCTGCTTACTCCCAGGGCATCCAAGATGTAGGTGACTTTGTTTCTTCAGTAGAACACAAACGAAGATTTTTAACACAAACCGTTGCAGTCTGTCAGTCTTATAATGGAGGTGAATGGGAATCACGGCTTTGAGAGTCAAAAAAAACATACACAAACAAAACCAAATTAAACCCTGCGGCTCGTGACGATACATTGATGTGTAAAGACACGAAACGATCGGTCTGTGCAAGAAACTGAACAGTATTTATATATATTTTTTTTTTACCTCTGATGCACTGCAATGTCCGACCTGTCCTGAGCGCGTTCGCGTCTTCTTCAGCCGGCGTGTGACGCGTCTTCTTCTTCTTCTTGTTTTACGGCAGATCGCAGACTTATAAGTGCATTACCGACACTCTATCTACAATCTCAATTAGGAGTGTTAATGGTCCATTTGAGAGATAGGTGGCGGTAATGCACTTATAAGTCCGCCGTAAAGCAAAAAGAAGAAGGGGTAAGCAGATAAACATCACATTTTCATTTTTGGGTGAACTATCCCTTTAACTGGATTTCAATATATCTTTCCTTTCCAGACTACATGTTCTGAAAGCTGCTTACAGAAGTATCTGAAGATGACGCAGAGGATCTCCATGCGCTTTCAGGAATATCACATCCAGCAGAATGAAGCGTTGGCTGCTAAAGCTGGCTTGTTAGGACAACCACGATAATCATCTGCGGCTGAACTCCAGAGCATTGCTCCGGGCTCTCTCTATTCCAGCATGGAGCAGGGCTCTCCAAACTGGAGCAGCAGGGCAGACGACGCAGGCACTGGGAATACTATGAGAAGTCCTGTAACGTCTGCCGGCTCTTCGGATAAATGGATCGTTGGGAGTTTTGGTTTCCCAAAGGACAGACACTGTCGTTTTGACCATTATATTGGTCTTCCGTAAAACACGAAAGATCTTGGTTGTTTTTATGTTAGCGTGCTACAAAATAAAATATTAGTCAACTCTAATATTCAGTCTCGTTCATGTATAATTTAGCTAATGAAAAAAAAAAAAGCTTTAAGGTAATGCTTCACCCAAAAATGAAAATTTGCTCATAAATTTCTCACCCTCACACCATCCAAGAAATGTAGCATACATCATTACACCACCTGCTCACCAGTGGGTCCTCTGCAGTGAATGGGTGCCGCCAGAATGAGAGTTCAAACAGATGACAAAAGCATCACAAGTAATCCACACAACTCCAATCTTGTGAAATGAAAAGCTGCATGTTTGTAATAAATCCATCAAGGCGTTTTAACTTTAAACGGCCACTTCTGGCCATATTATCAGTCCTTTATCCATAATAATGCTTCCTCCAGTGAAAAAGTCCATCCGCTGTTGTCCATTCACATTGAAATCCACCAACATATTGTTTATTACTGTTTCTGCTTGATCTGTGCATATTTCTCTCCTGATTAAGACGAGATGAATTTTTTCACTGGAGAAAGTGTTATTATAGATTATAAACTGGTATTTTAGCTAGAAGCAAAGGTTTGAAGTTAAAACATCGTAACGATGGATTTGCTTCTTACAAACACGCAGCATTTCACTTCACAATGCTAACTGATGGACTGCAGTCGTGTGGATTACTTGTGATGCTTTTATCAGCCTTTTGGACTCTTAATTCTGACGGCACCCATTCACTGCAGAGGATCCATTGGTGAGCAAGTGATGGAAAGCTAAATTTCTCTAAATCTATTTTGACAAAGAAACAAACTCCTCTACATCTTGGATGGTCTGAGGGCGAGTAAATTTCCAGCAAATGTCAATTTTTGGGTGAACCATTCCTTTAACAAAGAGGAGTTCTGTGAAGATTTTATTAGTATTACTAACTAGACGAATCTCAGAAAACATGGCCATAAAGTCATAATTCAGTCCAAAATAAATAGTTTTTGCCTAAAGGAAAAAAAAAGATCCTTTTTATTGCAATTTTGCATTGTGAAATTTCAATGAAACTCGAGTAAAAACTGAACAATATTTTAAGTATTTCCACATCATGGTAGTATTTGTTTATACTCTCTTTAAGCCATGTGGATTTAATCTTCTTAGAATAAAATAGTGGCATTACAATTTGAAGGAAAATTCTGATAATATCCATATTTTGTCCTGAAAATACAGGAATGCATTTTTCTGCCAAATAAACAAATGAGGTTAAAATGTGCCCCTGGTTGTTTTTGTGAGTTTTCAACCAGTTAATAAAAGACAAAGAAATAGGAAGAATATTTAAAAACTTTATTAGAAATGAGAAGACCTCTTCTTATTTTACATAAAGATACAATGGCTTTGCTCAGGAACCTAATGCCTTCATTTCTTCCTCCAGGAATCTGTAAATAAACAAGTCACAGGGAAGCAATTTTCACAATTTCGTCGCAGTGAATTAATCAATGCCTACAGCATAAAATGTTCAACATAGTCATAAGGGTCATCACTCTAGACAGCTTGGGTTTAGGTTTCAAAATGGTTGAGTATATACAGTCTAAAGATGTGCTAATGCTTCTACCAACTTGACATAGAAAATGAAAATTAATATACAAAGATGTACTGTTTAAAAATAATAAATCTTTTTACAGTTTGTTTAAAATGTATTTTTCAAATACATGGTTTTTGAAAGATCTATTTACAAAAGGAACAGTAAGAAACCCCTGGGCTTAACATACTTGTGTGAGAAGCAACTCATTTATTCAATTGGTCAAGAACTCAAAATGAAAATGAGAATAAAGGATTAAATAATAAAGTACCAGAAAATCTGAAATCAAGAATGGGGAGGAAAATGCAGGTCACCAATTTCTGGTGTTCCATCAGGGGAGCTTCGGGCCCAAATGGATAAAGAAAACGGGGGAAGATGCGGTTTACTGCACAGTAGTTACCCGAATAGTGACGTCACATTCGAAGCTTCAAGATGACCCGACAAAATTCTTATACTCTTTCTACCCCACCGACCGAACCGAATGTGGGACGATTGTGATTCTCATCTTGTAAAAAATACAAAAATGCTGTCCACGGACTGAATAAATATATTTAACAAGTTGCAAGATAATACCTTTATTTTACACAAAAATTTCAGCTCTAGAAATCTTTCATTAAATAACTTCACGGCTGTGATATATACTTTTTGAAATTTTCCATACTAAAATAAAAACTCTGCAATTACATATAAAAAGACAAAATACACTTGCAAAGTAAATTAGTCCACTGAAAACAGTTTTATCACGTGTTCCACTGTAAACATTTTCTGTAGTTTTTTTTTTTTGTTTGTTTTCATTTTCTTAAAAAGAGACAACAAAAATAGGTTTTGCATAATTCTCTGTGCTCGCATACTAAGACAGAAGTGGAAGACGCCAGCTGCAGTTTTCAGTAAACTACATTTCCTTTTGCAATTGACTTTGTCCTACTTTTCCAAAATAGGGCACTCTGCTGTAGCACATGTACTTTGGCAGTTCTGATGGAACAAGCGCATTCCAACTGACCTTTCTTTGAATAACCATGTCCAGCTGGTTAAGGTGACCATTACCTAGGGATCTGAGACAATGTTCTTACCATGTTCTGACAACTGCATCCAAATTCAGTCCCTGCTGTGCAGAAGCAGTAAGAGGAGGTTTCTGTTCAGCATTTGTAGAGAGCGAAGTGAAAAGTGCCATCATATACGTTCTGGATGGATAAATTGTAAGCTTTGATTTCATAGATTACATTCAACCCTCACGCGGAGTCCATTCCCTGGTGTGACAGCGATCGAGAAGAGGCAGGATCAGTTTACAAAGTGCAGAATGTGGGAGTGGCCAATAGGGATCAGAGACGTGGAGGCGGTGAGCAGTCGAGTGCTATTGGCTGCTTGCTCTGGCTCGTCAGGATGCAGGATGCTGAGAAGGCAGAGGTGGAGCGGGGCAAGGGCAGGGCACGGGCGTGACATCACCTGCACTCGACGGCCACAGTGTTCTGCGTGGGGGAAGCAGAAGACGGGCTCATGCCCGTGTCGGACGAGCCTGATGATGTGGACGCTGTGGTGTGGGACACTGTTGATCACAAATCAAAGGTCAATAAATCACAAAAGACCGGAAATTGAGAAATCCGAAGTTTAAATAGTACAATTTAAAAATGTTTTAAACCTGATGAACACAATAAACATACAACAATAACAATCATAGCTATTATTATTATTATGAAACTAATAATAATAATAATAATAATTAGAGCCCGACCGATATATCGTTTTGCCGATATTATCGGCCGATATGAGCCTGTCGCCGATATATTGGTATCGGCGAATATGCCGCCGATATAAAAAAATTTTTTTACAGAACACAACGCAGATAAAATGCTTGGAATTGTGTAATTACTTAGTTTGTCCAGCAGAGCACACTCTATTGTTTGCTACTGCAGACCTGGATAAAACACTTTAAAGCTTAGTCTATGGAAAACCATTGAAACTGAACGGCCATATCTCCGTAACAGCGCGGCAAATCCGCTCCAAATTCGGGGGATCCCTTCAGCTCGAGGACCCCTCTCGAACTGTCACGTCATTATAAGTGTTTGATCACCACATTTGAGTGATCATTGCAAAAAATGTGTTTATGTATATATATTCTGTTTATGTATATACTGTATTCTATATATATAGTACCAGTCAAATGTTTGGACACACGAATGGGGAAGTGTCCAAACTTTTGACTGGTATTGTACTATAATATACCCAAAGAATATCGGCCGACATATCGATATCGGCCTTTTTTTACTCCCTAATATCGGTATCGGCCCCAAAAAAAAACATATCGGTTGGGCTCTAATAATAATAATAATAATAATAATAAACAATCATGTCATTATAAATGAATAAATACAAAATGAAAAATAAATACTACTACTTCTACTATTAAGTCAAAGGTCAATAATTTGAGAAATTCAAAAAACATTTACATTTTTTAACATTAAGTACAATTTCCAAATTCTTTAGACCTGAACAGAATAAACAAGAACATTTTTTATGTCATTCATAATAATAATAATAATGTTATAAATAATAATCAATACATAGAAATTATTATTTTTATTAATAATAATAATAGTAGCAATATTTGTAAATGAACAAATACAAATGATGTATTATTATAAGCAAATTTACCTTCTCTTTCCTTCTTTTTTAATCTTTTCCGCCTCCTGTCGATGGAAGCCACTTCAGACTTGAGTGACATGTAGTATTTCCTGATTTCCTGTAGCTTCTCTTGCAAGAATGAAATGCGCTCAGCACTTGACATGTTGTCCAGCTCAGCTGTGAAAAACAGAAGCAGGAACCAGTAAGGACAGGATGTAAAAGTCTCAGACACTTCAGCGACAACCAAAATGTGTCTTTGTAACTTTGGTGTGTAATGTAACTTTGGTAAAGTTCGTAAACTTACTCAACTGGCAGGACCACTTATATGTGCGGGGGGAAGGGATGGATTGCTTCTCTTTGTGCTTGTCTTTCTCCATGTCTTTAATGTTGGGAGAAACCAGACCGGGTGACCGAGAAAGCTTCTGGCTCTTGGGTAGGCTGGAGTGCTTGACTGGGGCTAGCTTATTAGAGCTGTCCATGGCAGACAGGTCCTCACTGTCGCTACTGTGACCTGGAGACATACAGAGAGAGATTTTATCAGGTTTGAGTCCAAGACAAAAAATACCCATCATACACAATTAAAGCTATCATTGGTCACAAATAGAAATTAAAGCTAGAATGTTTAGCTTTGAACGTGAGAAATGAAGCAGAGGTTAATCAGACAGCCAAGAGAAGTGTAACATCACATGACATCAGTCAAGTTAGCGAAACCATTCTCTGGTATCATCATCTTTGACTCTATTCTCTTTCCGCCAACCTTTGATTAAATCACATACATTCAATTTTTACTGGGAAAAAATTTTTTTTGAATAAACCTGACCTAACCTTCCAGGATAGGAATCTAAGGAATAAAATAAAAATTAATTAATTAAATAAAACAAAAACTTCAACATCAGTTTATAGCAAACAACTAATAGAAAAAGTAAACCCTGACTTGGACATCAATCCATAAATGCTTTCAAGGCTTTGAACTTGCATCAAAACACTCACCTGCTCCATTCTTCTCTGTTTTACATACAGCGCTTGAACGTTTCTGGCTGCGTTTTTGCTTCTTGGCCGACAAGCCAGTAGTGCAATCCAATAACCTTTTCTGACCTGAAAATGCAGAATAATAACAACAATACAAATAAGAAAATCACACAGAACAAAAGCAATCAAAAAATAAAAAATAAAATCTTTGCCATAAAAATAATACAAATCTAGTGAGACAATATATGAATCTTGGTCAGGTTAGACGCCACATTGAATTGAACAGATGAAAACAAGGCTGTGAGGGATATATTTACAGTTTTTACAGTGGCATGCAAGGTTATAAAGGTCCTAGATCACATATCACGCCTCAAAACTTTAAAAACGTTTTTTTTTGTAGTTTTTGGCTTCTGAAAGATTCATCAGCTGAACAATCGTATCTTGTCAAACAACAATACATTCTATTGAACGCACTGTACTTCAGTCCCTCAGAGCCTCATTGCACTCCTTTCAAAAATAATAGATAATGGTGTTAACCCTGACAAAGGTCTATTGCTGATCATATCAATTATGCCAATAGTCAAATAGCTATTTTTTCCAATTCGAAAGGCTTACTCTTTAAAACCAGGTTTCATCAAGCTTTCACCTACCTCTGTCCTTTCCATCTCGATCCTGCAGTGAGATGCTAGAATTGCTTGAACTTGCACTAGCATCAAAACTATGAGTTGACTCATTCTCCCCAAGCCCCTCCTGTGATTCTGCCACACTGTCCACTTCGATGGTGGTGTCGCTCTCACTCTTAGTGCTGTGAGATTCGTCCGGGCTGGGGGCAGAGGATGGGGAAAACAGGCGTGGAGGTCCCACTGGAAGTTGGTCGGAAGGCTCTAGAGGTTGAGTTTTCTCTTCCTTCATCATTAGCAGTAACTCTTCACCAGAGGGCCTGTCCTTCTCCTCTGGATCGTCAAGGTCCACTTCATGGCAGACCAGCGCTTCGGGGCCGATTTGAGGCATCATTTCCTCATTTGCGGTTGTTGTTAGATCCTCAAGCTCTGGGTAACGAGGTTCTACCCTGAGGTGCACCTCTCTGGTAAGAGCGGGCATCTCAGATTTCATCTCGATATCTTTACTGGGAGATGATAATGTTGGAGAAGGGTGTTCCTCAGGTTTCTGCACCACCTCAGTCTTCTTCTCAGGATCAGGTTTCTTCTCCAGCGGTGGTGTTTTAACTAGAGAAAGCATTCTTCTTTCTTCTTCTTCTATGTTCACGTGGACTACCCTTTCCGGCGTTAGCTGTTCAGTGAATTCGAATTCCACTGCGGCATTTTGCTCTGACGCGCCGAAGTCCTCTGTTGCAGAGTCTGTGTCCGAGGTAATCTCCACGTGCGTTATTCTCTCTAAAGGACTATATGGCCTTTTCTGGGGTATCTTCGCAGGTTGCAGAGGAGTGGAGGGTTCCTCTGTCTGAGTGTGATTAGCAGCGGCAGGTGTTTGTGTGGGAGTCTCTGGTCCTGGTTCTTTCAAACGAGGCTTCTTCACTCTCGGTTTTGGAGATCCGTCATCAGACTCAACAGGGAGCAGGGATGTGTCTTCCTCAAGTTTACTCTCCCTCTCCTTGAAGTTGGGCATCTCCTGAGCGCTGCTGGGAAGTTCAGGCTCAGTCTGCGCAGGCTCTGGCATTGTGCTCTCCTCTGGGAGATTGTCAGCTGCCTCTTGTTTTGATGTTGGGGGTGGATAGGTTGTCTCTGTCCATTCCAACTTCTCAGGAGATTCCTCACACTCACTATCATCTGAGGAGTTCCCTGAATCTAAAAACGAAAATATACATCGAAGTCAATGACCATGAAAGTTAACCGTCAAGTATGATGCTTAAAACTAGTGATGCACAGACGTGTTGGACAATAAAAGCAATCATCTGTGTTTTCTGAGTCAACGTATCAGAGTCGATTTAATTTAAAAGGGGACGGGAAAAGGCATTGGACAGTTAAAAACTTGTGAAGTGATGAAAATGTCTAACACAATTTCATGTGATTTTTTTTAAACCCTGCAGTTCAGCATGAGCTCACTGGTTTATATATCTCAGTCATATCCAAATTAATTTCCATATGAAGAATACAATCCTTTTACAGTTCTTTTAAAAGATGCGTTTTAAAGCAAGGTGGCAGAAAATAAAAACCATCAAGTTATCAATTTCAGCAGGTGTTTTTCTATCGATTCAAAGCGATGTGAGCTGCTCTTACCATTAGATCCTCTATCCGAATCATACATCCCAGAAGTTCTCCTCATTCGCCGAAGAGGGGTACCTGTCCAAATATTTATGGTGTTAAACACTAGCCAAGGTCATGGGCTCCCAGGGAACATACATTCTGGTAAAATGTGTACATTGAATACACTGTTAGATGCTTTAGATAAAAAACATATGCCAAATGCCTAAATATAAGTGTAACTCATAACAGTAGTAACGTTCAACAAAACCCACCAAGCCATTAATCTTACTATAGAAACTAGAATGTTTGTAATCACATGGCAAAAGGCTGGTTTCGGTTTCTTGTGACAGGGCAGTGGCAGTAGCATGATATTACTACCATTCCAGTTATCAGACCTAAACTTCAGCTGCAAGATTACGCAGGTTATAGACAGCTTTTGACATGGACAGTCTTACCCTCTCCATTTGGCAGGGTAGAGGCATCTGTGGGCCTTGAGGTCTTGCTGCTGGATCGACCCTCGCTGCTGGGGGTCTTGGACACACTACGGGAGGTGCTGGGAGGGGTGGTTTTGAGTGGAGGACGACCTCGACGTATCGCTTGTTTGGCCTGTTTATCCTCCTCTCCATCTTCTTTATTCTATGGTGAAGGAGAGCTCAAAGGATCATTTTTTTCCCCCAAGGTTCTCAAAAGATAAATCTCATTTTAGTTTAAGACAGATTGCCACTCACCTTCACTTTTTTCTTTTGTTTTCTCTTTGTTCCCCCCTTATCGACAGGCCATATTATTCGATCTGCCTTGATCCATTCATCATATCTGTTGCAGAGACAAAATCCCTTGAATAATACTGTCATCATGCACAGGGTGAACAAATAACCCTTTCAGTCTTCATGCACCATTCTGATCCTTTTAAATGAATAATGGACATTTAATGCATGCTGTCTAAGAGTTAAGAAATCTAACCGATGAAATAACATATATTGGAATCTCTAATGGTAACAAGACTAAAAGGTTATTATGACGTGTTAAATTGAAGCAGAGGTTAATCAGACAGCCAAGAGAAGTGTAACATCACATGACATCAGTCAAGTTAGCGAAACCATTCTCTGGTATCATCATATTTGACCCCATTCTCTTAACAAGCATTTCAATTTTCAGTAGAACTGAGCAGTATATACAATATTCACTGTATATTTGCAAGCAAAATAGAGTCATAATTTTCACATGCATTAAACGCAGTTAATTAAACATTAAAAGACAGTCGCATCAACACCTCACCTAATATTCCAGCCGTAGTAATGCACCAGGTAAAGAACCTCTCCATTATCGGTCTCTGTGTTCCTGATGTTAGCTTCATAGATTTTCTGTGTCTTCCCCTTGCCGTATCTCACTTTGATTTTAGTGCCGGTCACAGAATGCTCAGAGTCCTCACAGCAGTCATCCTCCTCCATCTCATCTCTGTCAACCAAACACGAACGATTAGATTCTTCATCCACACAGAGATTTTTAAAGGACCAGATCATAGAAAACAGCACTTTTGTTGTTTGGGCCAAGTAAGATTTGGGGTCAGTTCATTACTTTATTCAGCAAGAAAGCATAAATCGTTCAAAAATGTCAGTAAAGGCATTTACAATGAAAAAAGATTTTCAAACATGCTGTTCTTTTGAACTTTCAAAATGTATCAATGAATCCTAAAAATGCATCACAGTTTCCACAAACATTAAGCAGCACAACTGTTTTCAACACTGATAAGAAATGTTACTAGAGCATCAAATCAGCATATTAGAATGATTTCTGAAGGATCATGTGACATTGAAGATTGGAGTAATGAAGCTGAAAATTCAGGAAAAAAATTACATTAAGATAAAATAAAAAAGTTTTCTATTAATTTGTAATAGTAATTCAAAACATGACTGTTTTTACTTATGTTTGATCAAATAAATGCAACCTTGGTGAGCATAAGAACATTTCTTTCTTCAAAAAAAAAAAAAAAAAAAAAAAAAGTTTAAATATCCAAAACTCAAAAGCTCCCCCAGTCCACCTATAGTTTAAAGAAACTAAGCTGCAAATTTGTTCAGAAATTACTAGGGATGTAACGATTAGGCGTCTCGTTCAGCTCGTCAGCTGTTTCTGTTTCATGCAGATATTTTTTTATGTATAGTTTCTAGTGCTGTCAAACGATTAATCGCGATTAAGCGCATCCAAAATAAAAGTTTTTGTTTACATAATATATGTATGTGTACTGTATATATTTATTATGTTTATATAAATACACACACATGCATATTATTTAGCAGATGCTTTTATCCAAAGCTACTTACAAATGAGGACAATAGAAGCAATCAAAACCAACAAAAGAGCAATAATATACAAGTGCTGTATTAGTATATTATTATGGTGTTATATTTCAATTTCACAAAGAAACATGCAGCATTTTGTCCAAGCAATAATAAAAGGACACATTTATTTATAATTAGTCTTAAACCTCATTTTGTACAAAAAACAAAAAAACAAAAAAAAAATTTCTGCGACTTGAATCGTGAAATCAAAATCGTGAGTTGAGTGAATTGTTACATCCCTAGAAATTACAAAACCCTTGTCATCTCTATCACAAGCACATCAATGTATGATCCCCCATTATTTACATATCAGCCCCTAAACGGCAATGTGGTGCACTTTGATGAACAACAGGAAGTAATTTTTTCAGGTACTGAAGACCCCTTTGGCAATTTGAACTTCAAGTTATTTGAAGTCCAACTGTAAAAATATTTGTTTGCAATAAGGCTTCGAGTAACAAAATAAAAATCTCAAAAAGTGTCCCCTTTCAGGAAAAGGTCTCAAAGAAAAGTCCAAGTAACTCTGAAATGACTAATGACTTAACACCATTTCCCCGGTTTAAATGCAGATATTAAAGGGGTCATATGATGCGATTTCAAGTTTTCCTATCTCTTTGGAGTGTTACAAGCTGATTGTGCATAGATAAGATCCCTGAAGTTGCAAAGACTAAAGTCTCAAAACCAAAGAGATATTCTTTATCAAAGTTAAGACTCTGCCACGCCCCCCTAAAACGGCTCATTCTAACACGCC